ATGGATGGAAAGAGATTGTGGTGGATCATCCCCCTTGGGGTGATTTCTCACTTTCCCTCTCAATGCTGCTTTCTCTGTCTCTCTGATGAGTGCATGCTCCCTATGGCAAAAACCTAAATGAATGAATGAGTGAACGAACGAATAAATGAAAATTTAATAAGGAATTGCCCTTTATCCCTTGACATGGGGGTTGGAGGAGTAAAATGGGATAAAGGTGGTTCTGTTTTCCAGAAGAAAAACATTGGAGACTAGGTAGAAAACGAAATTGATAGAACTGTAACCCTCTAAGTCTGTCGCTACAATGCAGAGCTTTCAGAACTTTCAGCTGACACACATTAGCTCTGATAACATCATTGAACTAAAGGAATTCAAACAGGTTAGAATTTCCATGTGTTTTGCTCTGTACTACATGCAAACCATTGTTCTTGGAGGAGTTATTTTAATAATCTTTTCCCCCTTATAAAAGGTCGCAAAGTTGCAGGTGAACATACAAGCAGATATTTGAAGAAAAGTTACACTTGTGTGAAAGATTGTGACTTGAAAACTGTATAGATACCTCCAAAATTGAAGGAAAAATAAATGGGGAGTTAGATGTAGATTCTTGTCCTTGATCTGTTACTTATTATAATTAGCAGCATGGTCTTGTTAAGTTATTTGAACTTTTCTAGACCCCAAATATCTTTTACTTTATAATTTTTTAAAGGTCAGAGTAGTTGATCTCTACATTTTTCTTAGCTCTAAAAATTCCTTGACTCTACAAGGACTGACCTGTGATGTGTGTGTGTGTATGTGTAATCATTTTTTTTTCTTTTTTTGGGAGAGGTTTTTGCTATAGGGCGCGGGCGCTTGCCAGACAGAGAGAGACATAGAGACAGAAAGCGAGAAATCACCCCCCGGGGGGATGGCCACACCGCAGTCCCTTCTCCTCCATTCTCCTCTCGGGATCTTGGGTACTCATGCACACACGCCTGGCGTGAGTTTAAGCCACCAGGTCCGGGACGCGAACCGCGGTCGATTACGTGGGAGTTCAGCAACATTGATAGAACTGTAACCCTCTAAGTCTGTCGCTACAATGCAGAGCTTTCAGAACTTTCAGCTGACACACATTAGCTCTGATAACATCATTGAACTAAAGGAATTCAAACAGGTTAGAATTTCCATGTGTTTTGCTCTGTACTACATGCAAACCATTGTTCTTGGAGGAGTTATTTTAATAATCTTTTCCCCCTTATAAAAGGTCGCAAAGTTGCAGGTGAACATACAAGCAGATATTTGAAGAAAAGTTACACTTGTGTGAAAGATTGTGACTTGAAAACTGTATAGATACCTCCAAAATTGAAGGAAAAATAAATGGGGAGTTAGATGTAGATTCTTGTCCTTGATCTGTTACTTATTATAATTAGCAGCATGGTCTTGTTAAGTTATTTGAACTTTTCTAGACCCCAAATATCTTTTACTTTATAATTTTTTAAAGGTCAGAGTAGTTGATCTCTACATTTTTCTTAGCTCTAAAAATTCCTTGACTCTACAAGGACTGACCTGTGATGTGTGTGTGTGTATGTGTAATCATTTTTTTTTCTTTTTTTGGGAGAGGTTTTTGCTATAGGGCGCGGGCGCTTGCCAGACAGAGAGAGACATAGAGACAGAAAGCGAGAAATCACCCCCCGGGGGGATGGCCACACCGCAGTCCCTTCTCCTCCATTCTCCTCTCGGGATCTTGGGTACTCATGCACACACGCCTGGCGTGAGTTTAAGCCACCAGGTCCGGGACGCGAACCGCGGTCGATTACGTGGGAGTTCAGCAACATAGCCATTACGCTAACTGCTGGTCCTATATGTGTGTGTGTAATCTAAGGTGGCTGCATTTTGAAATTATTATAGTTAGAATTATAAATTAGGAAGAATGTCGGTTTTTTATTTTTTCTCGGTTTTATATGTAGAAGTGTTGTGTTTTTATTGTAGTGGCTAACTTACTCTGCTTTGAGTTGAAGTTTTTAGAATGTCATTTTAGGAATGTTTTAGTTTTGTGTTGTGTCCATGGCAATTTAATCCCGTGTGCAATTTTCAGAATAAAGTGCCAAAAGTATCATAAATACTTGAGGTTAGAAGAAAAGTCGTGGAAGTTTGTAGGCCCAGGTTCTTACCTATTTTTCAGTTTCTTCCTGGAAATGATTCTTTAGTCATCTTTTATGTCTTTTTCTCTCTGGCCACAATCATCTTTTTCAGAGACGTCTAAGAAGGTAAGCATATACTGTGTTGGTAGATTGGGGAAGAGGCAAATAAAAGAACTTTGACCTTATTCCTATTTCCAGAAGAATTTGATATGCTGATGTTCTCCGACTGAGCCAGCTATAAAGAAGGTTGCATTTCAAAGCAGAAAGCTTAAAATACTAGTACAAATTTTGCTACTTCTCTTTCTTGCCTTGTTTTACGGTGGGGATTAATATCTAGGAGAGGAGAATGCTGTGTGAATGAATGGCCTTCAGATGCTTTTGCACTCTGGAAGTGTGATAGGAGACATAGTGAAAAGACGAACTGGACTAGAAATGAGAGGATGGGGTTATACATTGGTCGAGTTAGCACGTATTGTGGCATATTGAAAAAACAGAGGACCAACAGTTGGAGTTTGAATTGGGGGTCAACGGATTTTTTGTGTGACCGTAGACAAGTCACTTAATTTCTCCTCTTCTCTCATTCTTCATATATAGTAACAGCTACTCAGAATTGTGAGGAAAAGGAAATAAATTTTTTTTTTGAAAATTCTTTATGAGCCATTATGATTAGGGACCAGTGCATATACATTGGATAGAACGAATTAAGTCCTTAAAGTGAACTTTTGGTAAATAACTTCTACCCACTTACAGATAAATTTTTAGTAAAAACATGTTAATAAGGACCTGTCAAGCAGAAAAATAAGGAGGATCTTTGTTATCCTTATGAAAAGAGTTCACGGAAGGAGGGGAGGTTTACTTAGCAACCTTTTAATCAAAATGATTTAAAAATACAGTCATTTAAAATATGATTAGACTTACAAATAATCTTTATTTTTTTATTAAAAAATTTTTTATTAAGGCTTTTTTTTTTTTTTTTTTTTTTTTTGAGAGGTTATTTTTTTTCCTGTAGGAGTATGTGCTTGCTGGAGAGACAGAAACAGAAAGATAGAAAGCAAGAAATCTGCTCCCAGGGAGGATGACCATACCTTAGTCCCTTCTCCTCCACTCTCCCTCTTGGGATTTTGGGCATGCACGCACACGCGCCCAGCATGAGTTTTAAGCTGCTGGGTCTGGGACTCAAACTGCATCAATGATGTGGCAGTCCAGCCATTATGCCATCTGCTGGTCCCAGTAAGTTGTTGTTGTTGTTGTTTTTAAACAAAGAAACATTTATTTGTTTATCTATTTGTCATGATCTTCAAGGGGTATAGGATTTGACCATGGTCAGCCATGAGGTAAATTCAGCACCTTAATCACTGTGTACCACTTGCTGGCCCTAGAAATAATCTTATTAACACAGAAATTTCATTGCATCCAGTTTATTTTTATTTTTTATTTTTTGAGAGGTTTTTGCTACAGAGCATGTGCGCTCACCAGAGAGACAGAGAGAGACAGAGAGATAGCAAGAAATCACCCCGCAGGCCATGCTGCAATCCCTTCTCCTCCATACTCCTCTCGAGATCTTGGGCATGCACGCACGCACACGCGCATAGTGTGAGTTTAAGCCACTGAGTCCAGGACTTGAACCGTGGTTGACTACATGGGAGTTCAGCGACATAGCCATTACGCTAACTGCTGGCTCCTGCACCCAGTTTTTTTTTTTTTTTAATTAAAATTATTATTAAAGAGGTTTTTGCCTTAGAGCATACGCGTTTGCTTGAGAGAGACAGAGACAGACAGACAGGGAAAGTGAGAACTCGCTCCTCCCTGGGGGATGGCCATACTGCAGTCCCTTTTCCTCCATTTTACTCCAGGGACCTTGGGCATATACAGTCTTGCGCCTGGCCTGATTTTCAAGTTACCGGATATAGGACTCGAACTATAGTTGACCATGTAGGAATCTGGCAATGTAACACTACACCATCTGCTCTGCTGGCCCCCTTTTTTAGATTTTTGCCATAAGGTGTGTGCTTGCCAGAGACAGAGGGAAAATGAGAAACCACTGCACCCCAGGGGGAATGGTCTCAACACAATCCATTCGCCTCTTGGGATAATGTGCCCGGTGTATTTTTCAAGTCACCAAGTCTGGGACTCCAACCACTCAGTGGGCCATGTGGGAATCCAGCCACCTTTGTCACTAGCGAGCTCTTGTCTCTGAGTCCCTCCTCCCTTCAAGTCTTTGCTGTAGGGTGTGAGATAGGAGAGACAGTGAGAAGGAATGTGAGAAATCACTCCCCAGGGACAAAGGCCATGTCCCAGTCCTTCCTTTTCCATTTTCCTCCTGGAATTTTGGGCATGTATGCATGTGCTCCCAGCATGAATTTCATATTCCCCAGCCCCATGTCATCTGTGTTCCAAAAACATTGACTCCAATAGAATTTCTCCCCTTATAGTTTCAGTTAAGATAATTTTTTGAGTTTATTTATTTCTCCTAATAAGAGAGATACAGAGATAGACAGAGAGAGACACAGAGAGAGAAAGTGAGAAATCACCCCTCGGGGGGATGGCCACGCCGCAATCCCTTCTCCTCCATTCTCCTCTCGGGATCTTGGGCACGCACACACACGCACCCGGCATGAGTTTTAAGCCACCGGGTCCGGGACTTGAACCGTGGTCGACTACGTGGGAGTCCAGCGGCATAGCCATTATGCTAACTGCTGGTCCCCCTAGTTTCTGATTTTTTAAAACTCTTGATGTACCTCTATCTTGTTCTTCACAGGTGATAATTTAAAACTGGCGACACTTTGTGTTTCTTGGGGTTCATAAAGCATGTCGTTTTGGCTTCAGGGATTGTGCTCACTGTGCCATTACCCTCCAGTTCACCTTACTTATGCTTTTCTCCCCCAGGTTTTTCGTTGGAAGATACGTTGCACATTTATGGCGATTCTGAGCGTGAGGGCAGACTTCTGCCAGGCTCAGCACAGCGTTTTCGCTGACAAGTGAGCTTGGGGTTCTATGTGCCATAATTAACATTGCCTTGAAGACTCTGGACACCGAGACTGGCCTCAGAAATAGCTGGCTTTTTTTTTTTTTTTTTTTTTTTAATCGCAAGCATTTTTCTGTTAATGACTCCAGTAAAATTAAGCATCAAGTAAACAAAAGTGGAAGCGACCTACACTTTTAACTTGTCTCACTAGTGCCTAAATGTAGTAAAGGCTACTTAAGTTTGTATGTAGTTGGATTTTTTTGGAGTTTGAAGGTATCCATCTGCAGACATTGGGGCCCAACTTGAATTTGGATTGGAGTGGATTCTCAATACTTCCGCTTATCTTGAAAAGAGAAGCTTCATAAGGAATAAACACGTTGAATAGAGAAACACTGATCAATAATAGGCATTTAGTGGTCTTTTTAATGTTTTCTGCTGTGAAACATTTCAAGATTTATTGATTTTTTTTCCATTTTCCTCATCACATTCACACACGCACGCTCACACTTTTTATTTGCCATAATGAACCGTCCAGCCCCTGTGGAGATCTCCTATGAGAACATGCGCTTTCTGATAACTCATAATCCTACCAATGCTACTCTCAACAAGTTCACAGAGGTAAGACTAGTATGGTCTGCTCTTTGGATTGATTTGTAGATAAAATTCCATTAAAAACTAACACATAAAACAAAGGTCTTATCACAAAGCCATTTATTTCTGATTGGAGTATAGATGGTCAGCCTGTCAATTTTGGTTTGGGTTGTGTTTGATTAAAACATTTTTAAAAGAACATTTATGGGGACCAGCAGATGGCATCGTGGTTACATTGTTGGACTCCCACATGGCCCATTGCAGTTCTAGTCTTGTGCCCTGTGGCTTCAAACTCATGCCAGACATGTGTGTGTGTGTGTGTGTGTGCGCGCGCGTGTGTGTGTGTGTGTGTGTGTGTGTGTGCTCCCAAGACCTCAGTGGGAGAATGGAGAAGGCGTGGCCTTCTCCCAGGGGGTGGTTTCTCACTTTTCTGTGTCTCTATCTGGGGAGGGCACGCACTCTATAGCAAAAATCTCCCCTCACTCCCAAAAAAGTACATTTATGGAATTTGAGGAAACTGTAGAAATTACTTAGTTCTTCATTTTTCTCCTGTCCTTTCTACATTTAACAGTGCTTTTGTTATTTTTTGTTTGTTTTTTAGTTTGCTATAGGGCATGTGTGCTTTTACCACAAAGAGATAGAGCAAGATGGAGAAAGAGGGAAAGTGAGAAATCACCCCTGTAGGGGAGGATGGTCATGCCGCAGTCCCTTCTCCATTTCCCTTTTTGGATTTTGGGCACACATGCACATGTCTCCAACATGATATTTAAGCTAATTGTGCAGTCAGCCTTGGAGGATATAGCGCCTTAACTACTGTGCTGCTGATTGGCCCAACAATTCTTTTGTTATACTTTACTGTTTGTTTTACCTTCTTAATTTGTCAGAGGGTGTATGTGTCTGCTAGAGAGACAGGGAGAAGGAGGTACATCCCCTCAAAAAGGGTAGGGTTTCACTGCAGTCCCCTCTCCATTTCTCTATCCTAATTGGATTTTGGGCACATGTGCGTATGTGCCCAGTGTGTCTTTTAAACTGCTGGGGCCAGTATTTGAACCTCAGTCAGCTATGTGGAATCTTATTCTGTTAACCATACTTTCAGTGATAAAATAATTAGTATTTATTGAACACAGTTTGTACCTGACATTACAGTAAGCTGTGTTATGCATTATGCAATAAGCAGTGTTTGCATTTCAGGTCACAGTCACAGAAACTCTGAGGTATTGGTACTGTTATGACTTCCCTCTTAAAAATGAAGAAACCAAGGTTTAGTGCCATTAAGTAATTTGCCTAATGGCACATAGTACATGGTAGAACTAGTATATTTACCTGGACACTAATACATTTACCTGGACACTAATTCCCATTTTGTACCTCAAATGTTCAAAATGTTCTTTTTTTTTGAGAGGTTTTCACTATAGGGCACGTGCCCTCGCCAGACAGACAGAGAGAGACAGAAAGCAGGAAATCACCCGGTGGCCACGCCGCAATCCCTTCTCCTCCATTCTCCTGTCGGGATCTTGGGCACGCACGCACACGCGCCTGGCATGAGTTTAAGCCACCGGGTCCAGGACTCGAACTGCAGTCGACTACGTGGGAGTCCAGCAACATAGCCATTACGCTAACTGCTGGTCCCAAAATGTTCTTGACGAAAAGTCAGCACAAAATTATTTAGCCCCAGTAGTCGTCATGTACAGGCTACAGGAGTCTAGAAACTCGGGGAAGGAGAGGTGTCATAGGTAGCACTGTGACGTCAGAGCCTTACATTTTTCCTCTCTGCTGGTTGTAGAGAAACTTTGTTCATCAAACATTTGTACATAAGCTTTTTAATCATTACTACGTTGTTAGTACAAAAATATGTGGAAGAGACTTAGCAGGATGAATTCTTAGGGATACTCATTTTCTGGCAAAGCTGAGACCAGAAGAGGTAATTGACTTGCTTAAGGTCACAAATACTGTAAAACAATTCTATCTTTAAAGTTTTTGCTATAGAGTGTGTTCTCTGGAGAGAGAGGAAGGGGAAAAGGAAGGGAGAGAAAGAGGAAAAGTGAGAAATTATCATCACCCTCCCAGGGGACAATGGTGACACTGCAGTCCCCTCTCCATCATTCTCCTCTCAGGAGTTTGGGCATGCACACATTCATGCCTGGTGTATATTCAGGCCACTGGGTCTGGCCATGTGGGATCTAGCGCCTTAGCCACCATGCCACCTGCTGGTCCTAGCTAGGTTTATAATGTAATACCAGGTTTTTTTGCTTATTTTCAAAATTAGTTTTTTAATCTTTAAACTTAAAAATAAGTAAGTGCTTATATAAAAATCAGAAGAAATAGATCAGCAAAATGATAATTTTAAACCATTATGAGTATCTTATTTATTTATTTATTTATTTTGGGGGGAGGTTTTTCTATAGGGCGCATGTGCTCGCCAGAGAGACAAACGGAGATCGACAGAAAGCGAGAAATCACCCCTCGGGGAGATGGCCATGCCGCAATCCTTTCTCCTCCATTCTCCTCTCTGGATCTTGGACACACGTGCCTTGCGTGAACTTAAGCCACTGGGTCCAGGACTTAAATTGTGGGACTACATGGGAATCCAGTGGCATAGCCATTATACCAGTTGCTAGTCCCACGAATATCCTTTTTAAGGAGTTAGATTCTCTGTGTTTCCCAGACTGGCCTGGAACTTATGATTGATTTTCCTGCCTCAGCCTCCCAAGTAGCTGGTACTGTAGGGGTGCATTGTTGTACCCAGCTAAGAAAAAATTAATATCTGCCTTTTAGAATTTTTCTTTGCCATATGTGAATGTATTTATAATTATACATATAGGTGCATACCATATCTATACATGCGTGTGTGTATATATACATAAATATACATATATTTTAAAATTTGCTATAGAGTGTGTGTGCTCACTTACTAGAGAGAGAAAGTGAGAAAGTACCCCCACAGGGAGGATGGCCACACTGTAATCCTTTCTCTTCCATTCTCCTCTTGGGATTTTGGACGCAAGCACCTATACACCTGGTTTGTTTTTGTAGCTGCCAAGTCCAGGACTCCAACTGCTCAGTCAGCCTTGTGGAATCTAGTGCCTTACCCACCATATATGGTAGTTATGACCCTATATTATGTTAATTTTTAAAAAACCTTCCACCAACCTCTTTAGTATGACTTTCATAACTGTTGTAATATTCACTGTATGGATGTACCCTACTTTAACCATTCTTTTTTTTTTTTTTTAATTATCTTACTTAAATTTATTTATTTATTTAAATTTGTCTGGGAGTTGGGGGAGAGAGCACGTGTACGTGCACGAGTGCAAGCAAGTAAGTAGGAAAGCAAGCCCCTGGGTCTGGGACTTGAACCATGGTTGGCTGTGTGGGAGTCTAGTGCCCCTAACCACCCTGCTACTTGCCAGCCCCGCCATTCCCTTGTTTTTGACCCATTAGTGTTCCACTTTTTTTTTTTGAGAGGTTTTTGCTATTGGGCACGTGTGCTCGCCAGAAAGAGACAGACAGAAAGACAGAAAGTGAGAAATGACCCCCGGGGGAATGACCACAGCACAATCCCTTTTCCATTCTCCTCTCGGAATCTTGGGCACACCACACACGTGCGCTCAGAGTGAGTTTAAGCCATTGGGTCCCAGACTCGAACCATAGTCGACTATATGGGAGTCCAGCGACATAGCCATTACGCCAACTGCTGGTCCCAACGTTCCACTTTTTTATCATTCCAATCTGGTGAGTATGCCACCACCTAAATCTTGGTGTGTATCTGTATTCCCTTCGTATAAGTTCCCAGCAGTAGAATTTCTAGATCGAAGTGTATGTGAGCTTTAAGAATTTTTGTATTATGCTCCCAAACTATCCTTCACTAAATGAGCCTTTTTCATACTTCCCATGTACGTGAATTTCTGTTGTATATGCTGATACAGTGAGAACAGTTTCAGTCTTTGTCTAAGAACGGTATTCCATTGTTTCAATTTATGATAGTGCCTTTTTAAAAGTTTTGATTGCAGGTTCCAAAAGGAATTTTTCTTACAATTGTTTTTCTTTAAAGGAACTTAAGAAGTATGGAGTGACAACTTTGGTTCGAGTTTGTGATGCTACATATGATAAAGCTCCAGTTGAAAAAGAAGGGATCCATGTTCTAGTGAGTGTGTAGTATTTTATTTTTTCACTGCAAATGAGTTGTACCTTTTGGGGCCAGCAGGTGACGTGGAGGTTAAGGCACTGGATCCCACATGGCTGACTGAGAAGTTCAAGTCTCGGACCTGGTGGCTTTAAAAATATACTGAGGTGTGTGTGCCTATCAAGAATCCTGAAGAGAATGGAGGAGAAGGAATTGTGATGTGGCCATCCCCGCCTTGGGGGTGATTTTCCACTCCCCTTCCCTCTCCAGTGAGCACATGATACCCTAAACAAAACCCCCCCAAAAAATTAAAAAAAAAAAAAACATACATAACCTTTTCCCCTAAATAGTTCTCTAAAGCACAGGAACAGCTTTTAGGCACATATACTGAAATAACCTTGTAGTCAGGTGTCTTTGATGTCATTATGGAAAGGCCATACGGTAGGAAGAGAACTGGAAAGTTGTAAGTCATTAAGTGGGAAGAAAATAATAAGGAAGATGCTGTTTCAAGATTATATTCCTCCCCGTTTTTTAATTAAAACATTTTTTTAAGTCTGTTCTAGGTACTTGTGTTCATTGGAGAGAGAGGGAGGGAGAAAGAAAAAGAAATCACCTCCTGGGGAGATGGCCACATCACATTCTTCTTGTCCATTCTCTTCAGGATTTTGGGCACACACTCACACTTAACTCGAGGTGATTTTCTTTTTTTTTTTTTTTTGGAGAGGTTTTTGCTATAGGGCGCATGTGCTCGCCAGACAGAGAGAGAGAGACAGAGAGATAGAAAACGAGAAATCACCCCCCAGGGGGGATGGCCATGCCGCAGTCCTTCTCCATTCTCCTCTCGGGATCTTGGGCATGGACGCACATGCGCCCGGCGTGAGTTTAAGCCACCGGGTCCGGGACGCAAACCGCGGTCGACTACTTGGGAGTTCAGTGACATAGACATTACGCTAACTGCTGGTCCCCAGTTTCTACTTATTGAGAAAGAGTCCTATGGTCTTTTTTACTTTGTCAGTGATTGGGAAGGCAGTTCATGCAAAGAGAACAAATGTTCTTCCTGTTGGCAATGCAGTTGTCTCATATCTGATCTATGGTTTCCTCATCTCCATTTTCTTGAAAACACAAAAACTAAAGAGCTAAACATGTTTTTTTTAAAGTGTGTTTTAATAAGTGTAGCATGGCGGTAATTTGTCTGTGACCCTATTTCTTTTTTAGATTTTCGCCGTAAGAGCATATGTGCTCACCAGAGAAACGATAGA